ATTTAATATAGTTAATAGTTTTGTATTGATTTAGAAGAAAAAGGTGTAGGCGAGCAAGATTAATTGCAATTTGAGAATGTTTGGGAATAGAGTAAGGAAGTAAAAAATAATTTGAATGAAATATTTTTTTATAATTAAGAATACGAAGAGGATTTCTAAATATATATTGTTGTTGCATTAGTTGTATAAATGCATTTGTATCTTTATTTACATTGGAATCAGAGTTATTTTGGTAAATCTTTTTCTTTGATACTAATTTTAGTAGACATTTACATCATTTCTGAAAAGAAAAGCCAAAATCATAAGTATTTATTAGAAACATTTTATTTTGTCTATAGTTATTTTGCCTACAAGCCATTTAATCTATTATATAGATAATAATATATATCTGCAACTAATGAAATATTAATCCTAACTTTGTGATATAGATTAAATAAGAAAATGAGTATATACTGTATTTATTTAATTTTTATTATTTGTAACTCTTGTATTCAAATTAGGATCAGGTAGGTTGATTGCACTATTTCTGGAAATACTATAATATAACTTCTTTGTTGCTAGTTTAATATATTTATTTGCTGGATATCTATGTCACTTTTGAACTAAAGGATTTAAAACATATAAATTTTTTTCATTGCTTGTGTTTTTTATACTATTTTTTTTGCGATTAATAAAGCTATTTATTATATTGAGAAATTCATATTCACAATTTAGCTCAGCATCAAATTAAGGGCTTTTTTAACCTTTTCAAAGCCTTGAATATACCTAATTTCTCTTTTTATATACTTATTTATCTTAGTGTAAATATATATAGTAGTTTGAACTTATTAAATAAATATAAATCAACTGCCATTTCTATATTATTATTTTGCTGAAATTGTATTAATACTCTTACAGTTTCTTGTAATTGTAGCTAAATATCATGATCTTGAATATTCTCTAGATACTATTAAACTTGGCATTTTTTGAAACTATTATAATCAAAAAGAATATACATATATGAGCTCATGATTAATTATAGACAAACAAGTACATAGATATCTATCATCATTTAACAAAATAATATAATATTTATATAATTTTGTAATTTCAAAAAGCTCTCAGATTTCTATAATATTGAATGATTGCATATCATTTAAAAGAGAATACAAAAATGTTTGAGGTCTATCAAGTTGATCTTCAAGAAAACTAGTATTATAATCTAACTGATTAAGATCTTTCTCTATAAAACCAACAGATTCTTTAGTAACAAGATTGTATAATATAATAAAGATCTCTTAATTTGTTGTTTTTGAACTGATAAAATATGAGAAAGTAAGTATTTCTTCATTAGCTCAAATATCTAAATAATACAAATATGCAATAAATAATCTAATATAAGATCCACTTTATGATAATTCAATATTATCAAAAAAATAACAGAAAAAGTATAACCTCATAAAATATTGGTTCAATAATTGAAGTGCTTAATTGCTTAAAAAACTTAGAAGATATATATTATGATGAGCTTACCGAGCTTCATTGTCTAATAACTGTTGAACATAATCATATAAATTGCATAATAAAAAAGTGCTATTAATGCCTTCTTTAATTAGCCTGTTCATTACTTCAACACTTTGCATACTTTGAATTCTAGCTATAAAAAACCTAACTTAAAAGCACTTCACCTACTTTTTATAACAATTGTGTAAAGTATAATAAAGATACTCTTAAGATTTAAGATATTGTTCAAGTAAATAAGCCCAATAATGATAGAAGTTATTTTCATATAAACTGTTTTGGGCATACAAGAATTTTTTATAAAAAGCTTCAAACTTTTGATCTAGTTTATTGCACAAATTTTTTTTAGATTTTCTTAGATATAAAACATACAAAGAAAATATTGAGTAGTGAGCATTATTAATGAGATTGCATTTATTAGTACTAGCTTAATATCTGAAAAGAGACAAATTGGTAGAGTATTATTAGTAGCTTGTAAAATATAATTAAAATATTATTCATAACTCTCAATAGTCTCATCTTCTAACAAATATTATGCAACAAGTTTGCTTTTGATATTATTATCTATGATAACTAACAAAGCCAAATATATGCTAAACCAATTGGTTTAATATGTATTATCTGTTTGAACCACATCATTATAACGTATAAGGTATTGATATTGAATAGGTAATATCTAAAATAAACTAATAAACTGATTATTAAATAAGTCAAGCCTTGTATTAATAATCCAACCAGGTTCTTGATCTTTTAATATTAATAATTTATTAATTATTTGCTATGCATTATCTTGATATTGAGTATAAGGTGCTTTGAATTTTTGAATAGTATTATAAAAATCCTTCTTGCAGATATGCTGTTCTGAAAAACTTGCAACCAATAAAGAATAAATCTGTTTTGAATCTATATTTTTTTTAGTTATATAAAATTTAATTTTTTCTATTATTTTACTTGATAACTTGTGATACTTGGGATCATATAAGGCTATATTAGGTACTATAGCATAATTATGCTTATTTTCAAGACTAGTAACTCTTATTTCCAATAATGATTTTGATATATTAAGATTTATATGCTATTGGTATTTTATTTTTCTAGATGTCTAATTATGTTGATGACTTGATTGATTACTTTATTAGATACTAGTTCACTAGCAAAACTATATTTAAATGTTTGATAGCATATAATCCCAATATTGTTAACTTCAAAATGCTTATGATATATAGAAAATCTGGCTAGTTTTGTATATTTTTCAAAATATAATTTAGTCTCATCCCATGAAGAAAAAAAATCCTCAACATTAATACTAAATTCTTCTGTAAAGTTAATATTAACATTTTGAGCCATATTGTTGTAAATATTTGTGATATAATTTTTAACAGTAGCTAAACATTCCTCTTCAAAACCTATAGTATCATTATAAGTAGTAGCTAAGTAATCTTCTCTAACACTTAGAAAGTTATCTAGACTATCTTGATAGTATTTATGTGGTCTTTTTCAAAAATCAAAAAATTATCTAAAAAGTATCCAAGTTGTTTGTTCTAGTACTTATAAGATCATTATGAACAGTATTTATATTTATAAAATTATCTTGAATATAATTTTGTTGGTTATCTGTAACACTTACATCTGACCAGATAATAGCTAAATTATCTCTATTACTATACCCTATGAAAAAAATATCATTTTGAAAACTTTCTAAAAAAGTAATTAGCTAGTTTTCTTAATTATTATAAATTTAGTTACATGTTTAGTCTTAAATATAATATATTAACAAAAATTTTGATATATAAATAGTATTAAAATATAAACTAGCCTTCTATTATTTCAGGTTTTTAAAGACTTATATTAAATTACGCTTAATTTTTTCTTTTAGTATATAAAAGAATTTGGTTAATTTCAAGTAGTCACAGATTAACTTTCGATTTAAGTGAAAAGAAAGCAGATTATTTTTCTAATCATATTTTTTTAATTTTTATTTAGATATGTTTTAACAAACAATTAAATTTTTACCCCACATATAAATAATAATACAACTCCGATCAATTAAATACAACATAATATTTAATAGTGATGATGATCACTGCTAGTATAATCTTTAATAATGTAATGATCACTGCCAGTTCTAATTAGTTTAACTCTTTTAATTATTATAAATCTAGTAATTAACTTGTAAAAATTAATACTTGTTTTAAGAGTAGAATTTTTTTTTAGCTTTGAGAATATATAAAATTTAAAAAACAAAAAAAAATTTAATAGTAAACCCTAATATTACACAAACTTTGAGCTTTAATTAATTAAAAGTTTTTTAATAATTTTAAAAAATTTTTTTAACAAAGTTAATCAAGTAATTTTTTAAAAATATATTTTATTTAGAAAGTATATTTCTAAAATTATATTTAAAATTTTATTAAAAATTAGAGTTTAAAAAAATAAACACAAATAAATTTGTTTGTATTATAATTTAAAAAATAAGATAATATATAATATAAAATTTTCAAAAAAAATCAAAGTTTTTGAAGTTTTTGCAAAAATTGTTAGTAACTTAAAATTTTGATTACAAAACCATCTTTCATATTCTAACAAAAAAAATTATTTTAAAATTTTATTATAGTAAGTATTCTATTCAAATAAACTTATAAAAATATTAATTAATAAATTTATCTTTTAATTAATCTTATTCTAAAAAGTTTTATTAGATTTTATTAAATAAAAATTACAGAGTAAAATTTTTTGTAGAACAGCTTAAGAAGCTATATAAATCATATAATTTTAAGAGTTAATTTATTATAGTTCAAATTTATTTTATGATAAAAATAGTATGAAAAGTTAAATATCTAACAAAATTCAAAAATACGTTGTATGCTTGATAGAAAAGGATATTTTAGAAATCAAGAAATATCTTATATATTTGGTAAATATATAGTTCAGAATATTCAGAAAAGATATCTTCATAATGTTTCTAAGACTTATGGTTAATAAGATCTTCTTTTTATTTATAGTATTTTCAAGTTATAAACTTTTTATACTTATTATATACAAATTATTATTTTTAAAGATCTATAGAATAGATATATTTTTGTATGATCTTTATTTTTGCAAAATAAATATAATCTGTAACTAGCAATAGACGCAAATCACTAACTCTTTCTGACGATCACTTGTACCAAATTTTCACTAAAAATAATCACTCTATTCTCTAAATTCTACTAAGTAAACCTATTTTGGCCACCTAAGTAAAACTGTTCTACAGTAAATTTTACTTATAGGTGGCCCTGTTCTAAACTTTTAAAGCTCTTCTTTAC